AGTGTATTGACCCGAATTACCCTCCGGAAACGTTCCGAAAGACGTTTAGGATGAGCCGGGAGACGTTCATGGAGCTCTGTGACATTCTGGGGCCGCTGATTGTGAAACGATCAACCAGAATCAGGGAGGCGATACCTGTAGACATCAGGATTGGAGCGTCGCTCTGGCGCCTGGCCACAGCCGAGCCTCTCCATTTGATCTCCAGGAGGTTCGGGCTCGGCCAGACCACCGTGCATTTCGTCTCGAATGACGTTCTTAAGGCGCTGAACGAAGTTGTTCTGCCCAAGGTGGTTGTCTGGCCTGAGCCGGGCAGCACCCGGGCAGCTGAAATTTCTTCCCAGTTTCTGGACCTGTGCGGGCTGGATCACGCTTCGTCTGTGGCGCAGCAGCTGGGAAACGGGAAGCTGATTGCAACTCTCTACACAACGCACCTGCCCATCAACACGCCACGGTCCAACCTTGCAAAATACCACAACAAGCAGCACACCGAGCGTTTCGCCCGCCCTTCTTACTCTATAGCCATGCAGACGGCCATCGATGCCAACGGGCAGTTTTTAGACCTTTGCATCGGGCTGCCTGGCGCGCTTTCTGACGAGGAGGTTTTGCAGCAGTCGACCCTCCACCAGAAAGGACAAGCCGGGGAGCTCCAGGGAGTTAAGGTCATTGGGTTACGGTCGTACCCGCTTCTGGATTGGCTGCTGGTTCCGTACGCCCAATCAGACAGCGCCACGTGGTACCAGACGACCTTCAATGAGTGCATAGAGAAGGGGACTGCGGTGGGGAAGGACGCTATTGGCCGGCTGAAGGGACGGTGGCGGATTCTTCTGAGGCGGGCTGAGGGGAAGCTGCATGAGCTGCCGCGGTTGGTGGGGGCATGCTGTGCGCTGCACAACTTTCTGGAGCAGAAGGGAGAGGCGTTTGACCCTGACTGGGCGTATGAAGCGTTTGATGACTTTGTGCCCGCCAAGAGAGCCGATGAGGAGTCCCCTGCTGCCGTGGCGGAGAGGGATGCGCTGGCCCAGGGTATGTTCCAGGCCGTGCACGGGTGGGAGGGGGACGCTGCCAATGCGCTGTGAGGTTGAGCTCGGAAAAATGGAGGCTCATATGGAGCGAGGATAGTTTGGTGGGGTGGGGAGAGAAGTGGGGAAGAGATGGGGCTGGGCTGGGGGGAGGGGGAGGTGGGGGAGAAATGTTTTGATGGGTTGGATGGGGAGGATCATGTGCCGCAGCAAGTCAACGTTTCACAGTAGCTGATAAGTAGGAGATCTGAGCTGTCAAATGTTGTAGTCTTAGTGATGTGTGTTATAGGGGGTAGAACTGTTAGGGTTACGTTTATGTACCCCAACCAACCTTAGTGAAACCAACACTTTCATTCTTGACATAGTATCACCTAGGTTAGGATCCTGTAGGATCCCGTTCCTCTCGTTCATGTCCGTAGCGCCCGAGCCTGTCCCGTACCCTAGTGCCTGTTACGCCCGTACTGTCCCCTAGCGCCTCTCGTGCTCGTCTCTCTCGTGCCCTAGCGCCCGCTGCGCCTGCGTCGCATCGCCCCTGCTGTCCCGTCCCGTCGCCCCTACCGTCGCGTCGCCCCTGCTGTCCCGTCCCATCCCGTCGCCCCTGCTGTCCCGTCGCGTCGCCCCCTGCTGTCCTGTCCCGTCCCGTTGTCCCTGCTGTCCCGTCCCGTCCCGTCGTCCCTGCTGTCCCATCGCGTCGCCCCCCTTCTGTCCCGCCGCGTCGCGCCGTCCGTCCCGTCCCGTCCCGTCCCGTCCGTGTCGCGCTTCCCGTCCCGTCCCGTCGCACGCGCCCCGTGCGCCCTGCCCGTCCGTCGCGCCCCCGCTGCGCCCAGCCCGTCCGTCGCGCCCCGTGCGCCCTGCCCGTCCGTCGCGCCCCGTGCGCTCTGCCCGTCCGTCGCGCCCCCGTTGCGCCCTGCCCGTCCGTCGCGCCCCGTGCGCCCTGCCCTGCCCCGCCCGTCCCTGCCAGTTGCGTCCGTCCCGTCGTGTCGCACTGTCTGTCACGCCCTACGCAAACCCTTTAGGCGTTTAGGGTTTCGGCAGCAGCAGTATCCACCTCTACGCTTCCGCTATGGCGACCCCTAGGGTCCTGCGCTTTGACGCTGAGGGTAGGCCGCTCGAGTTCTCGGCCTGGCTCATGCGTGCGTGCCGCCTCCTAGAGAGCCAGGTTCAGGCACACGAGACTCTGTGGGCGCACGCTTCCGGTGACCTACCTGAGCCAGCTGACCCTGCACCCTTAGCAGCTGACCCCACACCTACAGACAGTGACCGTTATGCACGCGAGCGTGCTGACGTGACAGCGTGGAAGTCGCGTGATGCTGCGGCATGCATCGCCCTCAGCAGCCTCCTCCCTGAGTCTGAGGAGACCCACTTCACTCAGGTTCGCACGGCTAGTGAGTTCCTGACTGCGATCAAGGCCCGCTACGCTACTCCCACCACTGTCTCTCTTGGTCGCCTGTTCCTTCCGTTCCTGTTTCCTAACCTCGCCTCGTTTGAGCGCACTGCTGACTTGATCACTCATCTGCGCTCGCTCGATTCTAGCTACCACGCTGCTTGCACTGACGCACAGCTTGCACTGCTCCCTCCCACCATGGCGATTACTATCTATTTCATCGCCACTAGCCTCCCTGACCGCCTTGCTTCGATTCGTGACGCACTTCTTCTGAAGCACCCTAGCGAGCTCACTATCGAGGTCCTTGAGTCGACCCTCAAGGACGCCGAGAGCAACCTCCGTTCGGTAGCCTCTGCCTCTGGTGTTGTGCCCCCTCCACTGTTCCACGGGTGCACTGTCCCTCAGCTGCCCACCTTTACTGCCTCCCTCGCCACTGCCATTACTGACGTGACCGCAACTGCTGTTACGACTTCTTCGCGGTCTCGGGGTAGGAGTGGCAGGCGGTCAGGGTGCAGGCGGAGGCGGCGAAGGCGGTGGGGGTGACATGGCGAGCGGCGGCGGCGGGAGTGCAGGCACTGGAGGAGTGCCTCGTGCAGCGGCCGGTGACTCCCCTGCTACAGCTGGTGGAGGTGACGCCCGGGTTTGTCAGCCACCTACTGGTCTGCCAGCCGCAGGGGGTGGAGCAGCGGCGTGGTACCTGACTCGACGACAGCAGCAGCAGCAGCAGCAGCCCCTCCCCTCGCAGCAGCCACAGCAGCAGCAGCGGCAGCAACAGGTTTCGAGGCAGGGGTCAAGACAGCGTCAGCTGCAGCGCGGTGCCGTCCACCCTCCCTGCACCAATCACGTTCTGACAGGTGCCCGCCGCAGCCAGCCTTGTGGCCGCAGCCACCCACCGGGTCAGTGCTTTGCTCAGCTTACTGACACGGTTCGATTGGCCTACGGCGTTGACGACCCTGCCCCTGACTAGCTTCCCCTTGTTCAGACGTACGGCCCCGCTCTGTAGGGCATGTCGGCTTCTCAGTTGGTTGATCTCTTAGGAACTCCTCATGCTATGTATGCTGTTGTTGACTCTAGTGCTTCTGACTCTGTTTACTCAAGCGTTGTTAGCTTAGGTGCTAGTCTTACTGAGGTGCCTGTTGCTAGTGTAGGTACTTGTATAGACACTAGTCCAGGAGCTGCTCCGAAGGACGCTTCGCTGTCTTTCACTCTGGACTCCGGAGCTTCCCACTGTTTCTTCCACGACCGCACGACACTTACCCCGCTTCCTACGCCGGCCTCTGTAGCACTGGCTGATCCCACTTCGGGACCAGTCGCTGCTCGATACACTACTACGCTTCCGTGCCCGGCTGTTCCCTCCGGTTCTCTGACCGGCTTCCACGTCCCCTCGTTCTCGAGGAACTTGGTGGGCGTGAGGCCGCTCGTGAATCAGCACGTGGGTGTGTGGATTGAGCCTTCTGGCGAGACTGCGGTTTGTGTCGACGGGGACACGTACGCGCCTCTCGCCACCTTTACCGCTGAGCCGGGCTCTGGTCTCTACACACTTCACACTGGCCCCCGAGGGAAGCAGCAGCAGCAGCGGCAGCAGCAGCAGTAGCAGCTACTGCCCCCGACCCCTGTCACTGTCCCCTGTCAGGTTCCCGCGTCTCACCAGGTTGCTGCGTCTCCCCAGGTAGATGTGTCTGGTCAGGTTCCAGTGTTTGGTCCAGTTGCTGCGTCGTGCTCCTGCCGGTTGCTTGCCTACCCCACTGTTTTGTGGCACCACCGGATGGGGCACCCGTCCATTTCTCGCCTGCGCGCTATGTCTAGTCAGCGTCTTGTCTTAGGCCTCCCGCGTGTCTTGCCGTCGTTGCCGCCTTCGCTTGCGCCACCCTGCGGTCCCTGCGTCGAGGGTTGGCTGCGCGCCACCCCTCACTCCTCCCTTCGTCCGGCCACCGAGCCCTTCGAGACTCTCCACTTGGAAGTCAGGGGCCCCTACTCGCGCCCTGGCCCTGAGCGAGAGAGTTTCTTTCTCGTGGTCATTGACGACTACTCCCGCTACACCACAGTGTTCCCCCTGGCAAAGAAGTCCGACGTGACTTCTACGCTGATCCGGTGGTTGCTTACCACTACGGACACTCGTGGGCGCCCGGCCCGTACCTCGCCCACGCTTGGCCCCGTATCTAGCCAGCGATTGGCCCGTACCTAGCCTCGCGCTAGGCCCCGTTCCTAGCCCCGCGCCCGGCCCGTACCTAGCCTCGCGACCGGCCCGTACCCTGCCCGCGCTCGGCCCCGTTCCTAGCCCCGCGCCCGGCCCGTACCTAGCCTCGCGACCGGCCCGTACCCAGCCCCGCGCCCGGCCCCGTACCTAGCCCGCGCCCGGCCCCGTCTGTCGCCAGCGCCTGGCCCCGTACCTAGCCTCGCGACCGGCCCGTACCCTGCCCGCGCTCGGCCCCGTTCCTAGCCCCGCGCCCGGCCCGTACCTAGCCTCGCGACCGGCCCGTACCCAGCCCCGCGCCCGGCCCCGTACCTAGCCTGCGCCCGGCCCCGTCTGTCGCCAGCGCCTGGCCCCGTACCTAGCCCGCGCCTTGCCCGTGTAACGCCCGCGCCAGGCCCCGTACTTAGCCCGCGCCCCGGCCCCGTACCTGCCCAGCGACCGGCCCCGTACCTGCCCAGCGCCCGGCCCCCGTTCCTGCCCAGTGCCCGGCCCCGTACCTGCCCAGCGCCCGGCCCCGTACCTGCCCAGCGCCCGGCCCCGTACCTGCCCAACGCCCGGCCCCGTACCTGCCCAGAGCCCGGCCCCGTACCTGCCCGGCGCCCGGCCCCCGTTCCTGCCCAGTGCCCGGCCCCGTACCTGCCCAGCGCCCGGCCCCGTACCTGCCCAGCGCCCGGCCCCGTACCTGCCCAACGCCCGGCCCCGTACCTGCCCAGAGCCCGGCCCCGTACCTGCCCGGCGCCAGAAACCTGCAGGAGGGGATCTGCAGCACCAGGTCCCCCACCTTTCTCCTACCTCCCCCTGCTGCGGGAGCAGCAGAGGGGGGGAGGGGACCTGCAGCACCTGCCCCCCCCCCCCCCCCCCCCCCCCCCCCGCCTGTTACGATAAGAATGAATTGATAGAAAATGTGAACTACAACCCTAGATATAGCAAACCCTAATCATGCAAGTAAGTAGAAACGTAACACCTAGACTAACCTAAACAACACATATAAAATATATGTTGACACACCCCCATAGTCTAGGTGACGGAAGTCCTGTAGAAACAACAAGAGCAAGCAACGGTCACAAGACCAGTCTACAAGAACAAGACAAATCTCAGGGTGGAGCTCAAAGTCACCACACACTCCGAGAGCAAGCAAGGGGCCACAAGGCCAGTCCACATGCAGGTATATAGCAAATATAAAGAGATGCAAGAGTACAAGACATGCAGAACAAGGCATCTCTAAGCAAGCAAGTGAGGACGGGCAGGCACAAGGCCAAGCTGGGTGCAGAAACGCTGGTGCTCACAAGGCGGCAACGCCTTGGTGAAGATATCTGCCGTGTTTGCCTCAGAGACCACACGTCGAACGAGTGCCTGTCCACGCTGCTGCAACTCACGCAGAAGGAAGTAACGAAGCTGGATGTGCTTCGCCTTCCCAACCAGTCGGGGCTCCTCACACAACAGGACAGCAGACCTGTTGTCGGCGAACAAGACTGGGGGAGAGCGAGGCCGCTCACCAAGGTCGGTGAGAAGGAAAGACAGCCAGCGAAGCTCCTGAGCGGCCATGGCCGCAGCGTACACCTCTGCCTCACAGCTGGAACCGGCGACAGACGACGCCCGAGTCGACCGCCACGAAACAGCACCTGCCCCGAGGCTAAAGGAGTACCCCTGTGTAGACCGACGCGTCTCCGCGTCGTCGGCCCACGACGAGTCCGAGTAACCTGTGAGTGTAACTGGCTGCTTCCCTCCAAGGACAAGTCCCATGCCTGATGTACTCGCCACATACTTCGCCACCCTCTTAGCAGCGTACCAGTGGGAAGGTCGGTGTCTCCCAGGCGCAACAAAGCGCGCAAGGACGCTAAGAGGGTAAGCTAGGTCTGGGCGAGTACAGGTCATCAGGTACATGAGACAACCCACCAGCTCAGGATATGGACCACTGGACTCAAATGACTCGTCCGAAGGTGGAGCCGTGAGCCCATGATCCACACCAAGAGGGGTGAGCTGTACCTTGGAGAACGGGAAGCGAAACCGCGTGAGGATCTGCTCGACCATATGCGACTGAGTCAGCGTAATGGTGCGAGCTGCCCTGTCCCTGGTGATCTGCAGGCCAAGGTAGTGCTGCAGCTCACCAAGGTCAGTGCAAGTGTGTCTCCTCTGCAGTTCCTCCTTCACGGAGGCCAGCGCGCGTCGGTCGGGAGTGGCGAACACTAGGTCGTCGACGTAGACCAGGACAAAGAACGGGGTCGAGCCACGGCGAACGAACAGTGACGGGTCAGCAGACGACGGAAAGAAGTCAAGAGCTGCAAGGGTCGAGCGAAGTGTGTCGTGCCACTCACGTGGGGCCTGACGCAGGCCGTAGACTGGTCGACGCAGCTGCCACTGGGTCCCAGGTGGGAAAGAGCCAGTGAAGCCAGGCGGGCGACGCAGCCAGATCTGCTCGTGCAGGCTCCCCTGAAGGAACGCGGTGGAAAAGTCCAAGGAGTGCAACTCGTAGTCGCGCTGGGCTGCAATATGCAGCAACACCCGAAGAGTACTCATCTTCGGGGTGGGAGCGAAGGTCTGGAAGAAGTCCACCCCCTCTCGCTGACTGAAGCCTCTCGCAACATAGCGTGCCTTGAACACAGGTGGTGATCCAGGCGGCCGCTTCACCTTGTAGAGCCATCGGCCACTGACGACATTCGTCCCAAGTGGTGGGACTGCGTCGACGTAAGTGCCTGTGGACCTATAAGATGCCATCTCTGCCTCCTCAGCTGCTATCCAGTACGAAGCCCAGGGTCCCGAGACCGCCTCGGCGTGAGTGCGAGGGATCGGGATGTCAAGGGCGTCTGGATCCCCCTCAGGGGCAAGCAGCATGGCGCAGAGATGAGGAACAGCGGCCGCAAGAAAACCAAGCTCGAACTGCCTGTCCTCTACGACCTCCAGGGGAAAGACAGGAGCACCCCCAGAGGACGGAGAACGTGCAGGGCCACTCACCAAGTGAGCGGCGTAGTCAAGGCGGTGGGAAGAGGCAAAGCCAGAGACAGTGGTAACAAGTGCTGAGACAGACGACAGAGGTGCAGTCGGGTGAGTGACCAACGCGGACAAAACACGGGAGACGACAGGACGGGAGGCACGGAGGTAGTCGGACAACGGGTCGTGAAGCACAGTGAGGGACGACTCAGGGGGCTGTGGAAGGACAGGAGGAGGTGGAACACGAGAGCGGAGAACAAGGTGAAACGGACCGTCTGCACGGTAACGGGACCGACGGGGCTGTGGAGACACAGCACGACTGAGGGGAGGACGACGAGTCCACTGGGAGGAGGAAAGGGACTCAACTGGTGGAACAGGAGGGGACGACAGGGGACCACGAACAAAGCGTGCAGGTGCTGGGTCGGGGAGGTCGCGTAGTCGCATTCGCTGCTGCTCCGCCTCCTCTGGCGTCTGCTGCGACGGTACCGGCCCCTGCTGCTGCTCCTGTGGCTCCGCCTCTGCCCTCTCCTGCTGCGGCTGCAGCTGTACCCGCTGCTGCGACCGGGACTCCTGCGCTACCCTCTCCTGCTGCTGCCGTGACTCCTCCTCTACTCTCTCCTGCTGCGTCTGGAACTGCACCTGCTGCTGCGGGTGGGACTCCTGCTCTACCCTCTCCTGGTGCGGCCGTGACTGCTCCTCTACTCTCTCCTGCTGTGTCTGTAACTGCACCTGCTGCTGCGGGCGGGACTCCTGCTCTACCCTCTCCTGGTGCGGCCGTGACTCCTCCTCTACCCTCTCCTGCTGCGGCTGCAGCTGCACCCGCTGCTGCGACCGGGACTCCTGCGCTACCCTCTCGTGCTGCTGCTGTGACTCCTCCTCTACTCTCTCCTGCTGCTGCTGCTGCTGCTGCTGCTGCTGCTGCTGCTGCTGCTGCTGTGCCCTCTCAAATCGCTCACGCTCCTCCCTCTCCAACCGGAGGAGACGCTGCTCACGGGTCAGGAAACGTACGAGTGACGCACGGCAAAAACGGGTGGGGCGCAGGGCAGAAACGGGTGACGCGCGATGTCGACGGGGGGGGCGCGACCTACTCGGGCTCTACGGGGCAGGGCGCTTCGGGCTATGGGTCGCTACGAGGCGCGCGGGTGGTGGGCCCATAGACTATCGAGAGAAATTTCGCCTAAGGGAAAAAATCGCCTAGGGGAAAAATCGCCTAAGGGAAACCTAGCTCTATACCATGTTACGATAAGAATGAATTGATAGAAAATGTGAAGTACAACCCTAGATATAGCAAACCCTAATCATGCAAGTAAGTAGAAACGTAACACCTAGACTAACCTAAACAACACATATAAAATATATGTTGACACCGCCCCCCCCCTTCTCCTCCATCTCTCTGCTGCGGGTGCAGCAGTGGGGGGGAGGGTATGGGGGTGGCGGGTGTGGCCAACCTGCGGGAGGCAGGAGGGGATCTGCAGCACCAGCCCCCCCCGCCCCCCCCTGCCCTGCTGCTGCCGCTACAGCCCTTGCTGTTGCCACTACAGCCCTTGCTGCTACCCTGCTGCCCTGTGCGCCCCGCGCGCTTTGCAGCCCTGCGCGCCCTGCTGTCCTGCTGCCCTGCGCGCCCTGCGCGCCCCGCGCGCCCTGCTGCCCTGCAGCCCTGTGCGCCCTGCTGCCCTGCAGCCCTGTGCGCCCTGCTGCCCTGTTTGCCCCGCGCGCCTTGCTGCCCTGTTTGCCCCGCGCGCCCTGCTGCCCTGCAGCCCTGTGCGCCCTGCTGCCCTGCTGCCCTGTGCGCCCCGTGCGCCCTGCAGCCCTGTGCGCCCCGTGCGCCCTGCAGCCCTGCGCGCCCCGCGCGCCCTGCTGCCCTGCAGCCCTGTGCGCCCTGCTGCCCTGCAGCCCAGTGCGCCCTGCTGCCCTGCTGTTGCCGCTACAGCCCTTGCTGTTGCCGCTACAGCCCTTGCTGCTGCCCTGCGCGCCCCGCGCGCCCTGCAGCCCTGCTGTGCCCCGTGCGCCCTGCAGCCCTGCGCGCCCTGCTGTCCTGCTGCCCTGCGCGCCCTGCGGGCACTGCAGCCCTGCACGCCCCGCGCGCCCTGCTGCCCTGCTGCCCTGCAGCCCTGTGCGCCCTGCTGCCATGCAGCCCTGTGCGCCCTGCTGCTGCTGCCGCTACAGCCCTTGCTGTTGCCGCTACAGCCCTTGCTGCTGCCCTGCGCGCCCCGCGCGCCCTGCAGCCCTGCTGCGCCCCGCGCGCCCTGCTGCCCTGCTGCTGCCGCTACAGCCCTTGCTGTTGCCGCTACAGCCCTTGCTGCTGCCCTGCGCGCCCTGCAGCCCTGCTGGGCCCGCGCGCCCTGCTGTCCTGCTGCCCTGCGCGCCCTGCGCGCACTGCAGCCTTGCGCGCCCCGCGCGCCCTGCTGCCCTGCTGCCTGTGCGCCCCATGCGCCCGGCTGCCCTCTGCACGCACCATGCACTGCCTCCCCCGCCCCCCCCTTTTCTCCTCCATCCCCTGCTGCAAGTGCAGCAGTGGGGGGGAGAGTATGGGGGTGGCGGGTGTGTGAACCGTCCCCTGCTCCTCCTCCTCCGTCTCCCACTGCTGCAGCTGCCGCTGAGGGGGGTGGGTGTGTGGGAGCCGAGGGAGTGGTGCTAGGGGGGTGAAGTGGGAGTGGAGCTAGGGGTGCAGCAAGGGGTGTGTGAAAGGGGGGTGGGACAGTTGGGGGAGGTTGAGCGGAGGCTCAGAGTCCAGCCTCCTCCTCCTCACTTGCCCTTTGTGAATGCCTCTAGCTTTGCTTGTACTTGTGAACCTGCTCTATGACTGCTTGCTCTGCTGATTATACCCCACTTTGACTATGGGGGTGTGTCAGAATGTATTTGTTATCTAGCCTGCAGTGGGGTACTCTGTAGTGAGTACAACCCAATTAAGGGTCTTGTATTTGCATCCCAACTCTTGCTAGTGAATCCACTTTCCAATTCTCTCGACACTAAACTCTCTCGATACTCTAACCTAGCCATGGCTCCTAAGTCACGCTAGTATTCTCACAAGCAGCAGCACAGGCAGCAGTAGCAGCTCAGGCGCCAGCAGCAGCCTAGCAACAGCAGCAGCCTAGCAACAGCAGCAGCACAGGTGGTAGCAGCAGCTGAGCAGCAGCAGCAGCGTAGCAGTAGCAGCACAGGTGGCGGCAGCAGCGCAGGCGGCAGCAGCAGCTCAGGCGGCAGCAGTAGCCTAGCAGCAGCAGCAGCCTAGCAGCAGCAGCAGCAGCGCAGACAGGAGCAGCAGCTTAGCAGCAGCACCAGCACAGGTGGCAACAGCAGCGCAGGCGGCAGCAGCAGCTCAGGCGGCAGCAGCAGCTCAGGCGGCAGCAGCAGCCTAGCAGTAGCAGCAGCCTAGCAGCAGCAGCAGCAGCTTAGCAGCAGCACCAGCACAGGTGGCAGCAGCAGCGCAGGCGGCAGCAGCAGCTCAGGCGGCAGCAGCAGCAGCTGAGCAGTAGCACCAGCGCAAGCGGCAGCAGCAGCAGCAGCAGCGCAGCAGCAGTAGCACAGGTGGCAGCAGCAGCTGAGCAGCAGCAGCAGCGTAGCAGTAGCAGCACAGGTGGCGGCAGCAGCGCAGGCGGCAGCAGCAGCTCAGGCGGCAGTAGTAGCCTAGCAGCAGCAGCAGCCTAGCAGCAGCAGCAGCAGCGCAGACGGGAGCAGCAGCTTAGCAGCAGCACCAGCACAGGTGGCAACAGCAGCGCAGGCGGCAGCAGCAGCTCAGGCGGCAGCAGCAGCTCAGGCGGCAGCAGCAGCCTAGCAGTAGCAGCAGCCTAGCAGCAGCAGCAGCGCAGACGGGAGCAGCAGCTTAGCAGCAGCACCAGCACAGGTGGCAGCAGCAGCGCAGGCGGCAGCAGCAGCTCAGGCGGCAGCAGCAGCAGCTGAGCAGTAGCACCAGCGCAAGCGGCAGCAGCAGCAGCAGCAGCGCAGCAGCAGTAGCACAGGTGGCAGCAGCAGCAGCGCAGCAGTAGCAGCAGAGGTGGCAGCAGCAGCGCAGGCGGAAGCAGCAGCGCAGGTGGCAGCAGCAGCTCAGGTGGCAGCAGCAGCCTAGCAGCAGCAGCAGCGCAGTAGTAGCAGCACAGGTGGCAGCAGCAACGCAGGCGGCAGCAGCAGCGCAGGCGGCAGCAGTAGCTTAGCAGCAGTTGCAGCGCAGGCAAGGCGCGCGCAGGCGGCGCAAGGCAGCGCGTAGGGCAGGGCAGGACTAGCGCGGGTGCGCGACACTGGCAGAGCGCAGGGCAGGCGCTCGCGGGCGGCGCAGGACAGCGCGTAGGGCAGGGCAGGATAGCCGCGCGCGGGCGGGGCAGGGCAGCACGTGGGTAGCGTTTGCAGGGCAGGCGTGCGCTGGAAGGGCAGGAAAATCGACGCGCCTACGGGCACGATACGGGCAGAAATTCGTCGTGCCTAAGGTCGCGATTCGGGCAGGAAAACCGTCGCTTCTAGGGGCGCGATTTGGGCAGGAAAACCGACGTGCCTAGGGGCGCGATTCGGGCAAAAAATCGACGTGCCTAAGGTCGCGATTCAAGCAGGATATAAAAGTGACGCGCCTAGGGGCGCAATTTGGGCAGGAAATCGAAGACTTAACGGTGGACCCTTTTAAAAATCTGGTCATAAGGACCTAATGGCTCTTAATACCATGTAGCACCAGTACCAGTAGCACCAGTAGCAGTAGCACTTCTAGGACTAGTAGCTCCGGCACCTCCAGCACCAGCAGCACCTCTAGTACCTCCAGCACCAGCAGCACCTCCAGCACCTCCAGCAGTACCTCCAGTACCTCCAGCACCAGCAGTACCTCCAGGACTAGCAGCTCCAGCTCCAGCAGGACCATACCCTCCACCACCGGGACTGCCTCGCCGAACGATCCACGCACGAATCGCCTGCGGCGAGAGCGTCTCAAGTAGATCAGGCTGCGGTGGCTGTCCAGCTCCAGGACCTCCAGCAGGGTCACCCACAGCTCCACCGCCACTAGGACTCGCAGTACCCCCAGAGTCAGCACCCCCATTCGTACTACCCCAAGAACTAGCACCCCCAGTCACAGCACCCTCAGAACCAGCACCCCCAGTCGCAGCACCTCCAGAACCCGCACCCTCTGTCTCAGCACCCCCTGGCTCAGCACCAGCAGTCTTAGCTCCAGAGTCCACAGCAGCAGGCTGTGGAGGCGGTGAAGACGGCCAAGGCGGAAAACCAGGGGGGGTCTCCAAGCGTGGAGAGTGCCGAGTGGCCGCCGTGTCGGCGGCGGCGGGGTCACCCCCCTCAGCTGGGCCAGAGGAGTCAGAAGAGACCTCCAATGGCTCAACCAAGGGGGGTGGGTCTACCTGAGACACACCTGAGGGAGCAGGACCCTGTGGGGGGAGGGGGTCAACAAGGGGGGGGACTGGTACCAAGAAAAGAGGCGCTAGGGGGACCGGGTGGGATGCGTGCGGGTGTAGCCTGTAGTAACAGACAGACTCGTCAAAGGTGACGTCCTGGGAGGAGAAGACTCGACGTGAGCGCGGGTGGTAAAACTGCCACGGCGGGGCGTCGGTGGGGAAGCCAAGGAAGACGCAGCGGAGAGTGCGAGAGGAGAGCTTGCTCGCTTTGGCATCGCGAACAAGGGAGAGCGCACCCCAGACCCGAAACACCGACGCATCGCCAACCTTCCCCGTCCACCGGAGTGTGGGCGAGGTCTCTGGCTCAGAGACACGGGGCCAGAGGTTGAGCTGATGCGCAGCGTATCGGACCGCAAACGGCCACAGAAAATGGGGAGCAGCCGCATGGATCATGGAGGTACAAGCAACCTCCATGATCAAGCCAATGCGACGCTCAGCAGTCCCATTTTGCTGAGGAGAGGCTAGAAGCGTGAACGACTGGACGATGCCCTCGTCTCAACAGAACTCCGCAAGGAGGTCAGAAGAGAACTCACCGCCCCTGTCAGAGTGCAGACACAAGACTAGGAAGTCCTGACTGAACCGCTCGCGCAGCTGGCGACGAGTAGCACGGATCCAGGGGATCAAAACACCGCTGATGTCCGCCTTGCGCCGCAAAGGGAAGACAGTGGTGTAACGTGTGTAGTCGTCAACAACCAGCAGGAAGTAGCGCCCTTGGTCCGTTCCACCGATGTGGGCTGGGCCCCAAAGGTCCATGTGGAGAGTCTGCAAAGGAGTAGTGGTCGGAGGAAACAGGGAGGAGTGAGGAGCGGCGCGCTGCCGCTCCTCGACGCAGGGAAGGCACGGTGGGGCAGGCGAGCGCGGAAGGGAGGGCAGGGACCTGGGAAGGCAAGAGAAAAGGAGACGAGAGTGCATACCGCGGAGACGCGGTAGGGAGGGGTGACCGAGGCGGTGGTGCCAGAGGAGAGTCTGGTGGGAGAGTACTCGACACGAGCAAGACGCTGCAAGCTGACCAGACGCAGACACCTGACTCGACGCAGTCACCTGACCTGCCTCAGCCACCTGTGCAGACGCAGTGGTCAGTGTGTACAGACTAGACCCAGGCCGTCGAGTGAACGTAACCAGGTGACGGCCAGTCCGGGAGCACGTACAGATCGCCACACGTTGCCCTCCATGAATAAAGGTATCAACCCAGACATCCTGAATGGCAGTGTTGCTCACCAAGTTCGTCGAGAACGTGGGGAGGTGGAGACCTGACAGAGAACCGGAAGGGACTGCTGGACACGGGAGGACAGTGGAGGCTCGTGCGACTACTGGGCCCCCAGTGGGGTCAGCCAGTGAGACCGGTACCGGTGCAGCAAGTGGTGTGAGTGTGGTGCAGTCACGAAAGAAGCAACGTGACGCGCTTGAGTCAAGTGTGAAAGTGTGCAAGGCCTCAGCTGAGGAAGGACCTGTGGCGGGAGACGCACGAGCACCTAAAGCTGCAGCAGACTCACTAGCACTTAGTGCTGCAGCAGACTCACTAGCACCTAGTGCGGCAACAGACTCACTAGCACCTAGTGCTACAGCAGACTCACTAGCACCTAGTGCTGCAGCAGACTCACTAGCACCTAGTGCGGCAGCAGACTCACTAGCACCTAGTGCAGGAGTCTCGACATAACCAGTGACACATCGCTGAGGAAACAACTCACTAAGCACGTGAGGGGAGAAGGTCTCCTGCTGACTTTGTTGCCGCCTCTGTGCAGTACGTAGAAAACCAAAGCCTCCACCACCTAGACGCGCTCGCTGAAGAACCCATTCGCGAAGCTGCTGAGGGTTGGGGTCGTCCGGGAGAGGCAGTGAGCGCCGCTGTCCACCCATAGCCGCTGCAACTGCCGTGATAGAGGCCATGACAGGCAGTGACGGTCAGTAGTAGGTCCAGCACCTCCGGCACCAGCAGCACCTCCAGCACTCCCAGTCGCACGTCCCGCACCAGCAGCACCTCCAGCACTCGCAATCGTACCTCCAGAACCCCCATCTCCAGCAGCACTCCCAGCAGAACCTCCACTAGCAGCAGCAGTAGCACTAGCAGCAGCAGCAGTAGTGGCAGCAGGGCGGCTCGGTGGGGCTGGTGACAAAGGTAGGGCGGCGCAGCTCGGGTTGGGCAGGACGGCTCGGGCGGCGCGGCTTGGTCGGGCAGAGCATTCCGCGGGCTGCAGGACAGGGCGCGCGGTGGACAGGGCAGCAGGGCGCGTGCTGTGCAGGGCAGCAGGGCGCGACGTATGGGGCAGCAGAGCACGACGCGAGGGGCAGCAGAGCGCGATGCTCTGGCTGCAGTAGGGCGCGACGCGCTGGCTGCAGCAGGGCGCGACGCGCAGGGCAGCAAAGCGCGACGCGCTGGCTGCAGTAGGGCGCGACGCGCTGGCTGCAGCAGGGCGCGACGCGCAAGGCAGCAGGGCGCGACGCACAAGGCAGCAGGGCGCGACGCGCTGGCTGCAGTAGGGCGCGACGCGCAGGGCAGCAGAGCGCGATGCGCTGGCTGCAGTAGGGCGCGACGCGCTGGCTGCAGCAGGGCGCGGCGCGTAGGGCAGCAGGGCGCGATGTGCGGGGGTGGGGGGGAGGGGGGGGGGGGGGGGGGGGGGGGGGGGCAGGCAGTGCAAGTAGCTGCAGGGCAGCGCGACACTGTGCTAGCAGGGCCTGACAACGCAAGGTCGCTTCGGGCAGGAACGATCGAAACTATCGGTGGGCCCTAAAAACTTAACAGGTTTCCTGCTCTGATACCATGTCAGAATAACTGTGCAGGAATGAATGAACTATGAATGAGTTGGGTACAAGTACTAACCCTAAAGTGTTATATCCCTTGTATGCTAACCCACTATAGCCTAGAGATAACACAAACATATAGTTTGACATGACAATGGCAAGGCACCAGTTTCAGTTGCCAGTGGATCTGGCTTATCTGCGAGCGACAAGGCTTCAACTCCTTCCATGGGTCTTACCGATGCTGACTGGTTCATTGATGACGACTTGTATGACGAAATGTTGATCGACCTGGTTAAGGAAGCATGATCTGGTTTGCGCTCTGTTGCCATTCTGCTGGTCCCTTTCATGCTGGTGAAGGAGATTTCTTGTGTGATTGATGCTGTCAAAGCACTTATAAAGCACGGGTGGATTTCAGAGTTATCAGCTGACGTTGTGACGACGACAAAGTTTCAGGAGCTCCAGATGGTCTACATTGCCGAGACGTGTTATTGTTGCCTGCAAGTTTCATTTGCAATGGAGTCAGATGCGGCATGGGTTTGGCAGAAAGAAGTGATTTACCATAATCTCAGGGTCAGTTGGTCACTCTTCACTGGCAGCACACGGATGATCCCGCCTTCACCCTAGTCAGCGCGGAGGGTCAGGAACATCAGACCCTAGAAATCTTATCTGGAGCAAGAGGTCCCCTCTAGTTCCTGTCAGTCGGTATATGCTTGCCTTTTGGTGTATACTTTCAATTATCATTAAAAAAAAAAAAAAAAAAAAAAAAAAAAAAAAAAAAAAAAAAAAAAAAAAAAACATTAGAGGAATGCACCACAGCATTGTAACAGGGTGTCCCCCACATTTGTTGGTGGGTTGCTTTCCGAAATGGTAAACACGGAAAGCTGTGCCAAACCGATTTCAAACCTTCCAAACCACACTATACGACAATAAGCGGATTAGCGCCTGGGACCAGAGCTCTGCAAAAAGGTTCCTTACGCCATGGGGGTCACTCATTGTGCCATGGGAGGGTGCATTGCGTGACTTGCGGGGCACTTACTGTGAGAGAGTGCATTGCGGCACATGCTTTCACGGGAACCCAGAGCACCAATCATTGGTGTCACAACAATACGCCGTGGAGACACCAATAATCGTCAGAATACATGCCTCGGAACGTACGTCGCCAAAGTAGAAAAGATGGAGGCGACTCGATCCGTCCTTGCCGCCGATGCGATCCGAGCCGCAGTCCGACTTGGCCCAAGCGTTCAAAAGGGACGGGCCCGCCGTGAGTTTCCCGTAACTCTCTCATTCCTTCCTGTCAACCAGCCGAAACGATGGTGGCCGCGAGTTTCCTTTCGACTACATTGGCACCCGTAGTACTAGTGGTAGTGCTGGTGACTCTCAATCTCTCAGTGATAGCCACGTCAGCATTTGACTTCTCAAGCTCCGAGGCCGGAAAAGTGCAGTGGTCGCTGAACTGCGACTGGAAGGGCAACGACATTGGCCGAACCGCCGGCATGGGCGAGACCTGCGGACCGCAGTGCCTCAGCCGCGCGGATTGCACGCATTTCACGTGGAGTGCCTTCAACGGCGGCACGTGCTGGCTCAAGGGGGCGATCAACGCGACTGAACTGGTCCCCGCCACTGGCACGTCGTGCGGTTACCGCGTCGGCGACAGCGCGACCGGCAACCCGTACACGGGAGTCCAGCAGTATCTCAACCGCGGGTACGCGGCGAGTGTGAAATCCGCAATGCTCGCCGCGTCTCGCGAGAACGCGCCGTTTTTCGCGAGCGTGGCGGAGAATCCGACGGCTGTGTGGCTCGACAATATGGCGTCCCTAGATTCCATCCCGGGCCACCTGGAAGAGGCAGCGATTCAAGGGGGTGCGAAGGCGATTCTCGTGCAATTCGTGATCTACGACCTCCCGGGCCGCGACTGCAAGGCGTGGTCGTCCAATGGGGAGATTCCCAAGGGCGGCCTCGACACGTACAAGGCCAAGTACATCGATGTTGCCGTGGCGCGCCTTAAAAACAAGGCGGCGAACGTGCGTCTGTCGCTCGTGATCGAGCCCGACTCGCTGCCCAACATCGCGACGAACATGGGGATGAATCGGTGCGACGCGACGACGGATAAGGAGTACACGGAGGGCGTCGCGTATGCCATCGCGGAGCTCTCGCAGATCCCCGACACCACGCTCTATCTCGACTCCGGCTTTGGCGGCTGGCTCGGTGAGTGTGTCTGCCGCACGTACGCTCGTGTGATTCAGTCCAATGCTGCAATCTATTCCGTTGCTTGACTTCACGCTTCCCCCCCACTCCACCTTCCCCCGTCGCGTGAGCAGGGTGGCCGGAGGGAATGAAGCGCGTGGTGGCGGTGTACATGAAGGTCCTCGCGCGCGCGCGGCAGATCCGCGCGAACGCCAAGATCCGCGGCTTCACGTCTAACGTGGCCAACTACAGCCCGCTCTTCGCGAGGAGCTTCCCGCTCTTACCCTCCGTCTGTCCCGCCTTGGAGAAATGCCCACTGGTGAAGAACCCGAGCACGGGCGAGACTAACTACGACTGGAACCCTTGCATCGACGAGAACCGATTTACCGCACGAATGAATGCGTACCTGGGAGCCTTGGGATTGCCGACCAGGTGGATCGTGGATACCAGCCGGTCCGGCCGCGCTGGCATTCGCAACCGCTGGGGGTCGTGGTGCAACGTGAAGGGCGCGGGGATCGGACAGCGTCCCGAGGCGAATCCCGGAAGTGCTCCGCAAGGTGAGCACTTGGTATCACTACCAGCATTCTGCGTGTTTGGTTCATTTTTCTGTTCTATCCCAGCGATTCTGTTTGACTCACGAGGCTCCGTTCCTTTGGCGCACACCTTGCTTGCCCTGCTTGCAGTTGACGCTCTGGTCTGGATCAAGCCGCCTGGGGAAAGCGATGGCCACGCGTAAGTGTCGTACTACCGCCCGGGGTGCTCCTTCGGGTTATCTATCCTTCCAGATACCTTGGCTATGCTCTGATTTACATCGTCACTCATCACTCTTCCTCCCTCCCCACGAGGCATCTCTCTTCCCCCTCCTTCCCATTTGGGTTATCTATCTTCTCAGACACCTTCACTATGCTTTATTGACATCGTCACTCGTATCTCTTCCTCCCTCCCCACGCTGCATTTGATTCAGAAGGAAGATTCTGGGCGTGATTGCCGTGGATCGCGAATGCGACCCTCTGGATCCCCTGGGCCTGGACGCCCTGGCAGACGCGCCGCGAGCTGGCCAATGGTTCTAGTCGCAATTCGCCATGCTCGTTCGCAACGCCAACCCGCCCATGCCTGCTGGAAAGGTGGACCCGTGCATGTTTGATCCGAAAACGAGCCCCGCGTGCGATCCCTTCTGGGAGGACGTGGCCGTCAAGTACTCGCCGCAGTACAAGTTCCACCCCGAAGAAACCATCTGGCCGATCACAATCGACGAGTACCTCACACATGTGACAGAGTCCATCGGTCAGTACACTGAGAACTACAAGACGAAAGAGATTCAGTACCAGGCGGGCCCGATCACTCCCGACAACCTCGATACCTTGCTGGGGGATGGGGTGTTGAAGACCGACCGTGGCCGAACTGTCCTGCTCAGTTCGCGCGAAGAGATTACCAAGGATACGGACTGGGTGAAGGACTCGGCGCACAACCCATCAAAAGGAGGCACGAAGGTGTACACGATCATCTATAATCCGAAGCCGGACGACGCTGACTCGTTTGTGGAGATTCAGTATTGGATGCTCTACCCCTATGTGAGTATTCCAACTAGTCTGCTGGTCTGGATTCACTCCACTTGTTTCCTTCCCTCACACACTCCCCCATTCCACTTGTTTCCTTCCCTCCCACACTTCCCCCCCTCCCCCATTCCACTTGTTTCCTTCCCTCCCACACTTCCCCCCATCCCCCTCTCCACCCCAACTCTTTCAATAAGCTCCTGCCTCTTTTGTGACGTTTTATCGCTGATCTATCCCTGCTTCTATATTCACAGAACTACGCCTCCATCCTCCGCGAGTACAACCACATCACGGATCTGGTGGCGATTGCGATCCGCTTCTCAAAGACCGGCCAGCCGCAGCGCATTTGGTACGCGCAGCACGGCGACGGCCCCGTGTGGGCGTGGGACACTGGGGCTGACTGGAATGACAAAAAGTCAAAGAACTTCGCTACAGTGCTGGGAACGCATCCCATTGTGTATGTCGCGAAGGGGAATCATGAGCATTACCCGAGCGCTGGTGAGTAGTAGCTTGAGTAACACCTGGTATCTTTCCAGCGCTTCTTTTACGCAGAGGCTGAACCTCGTTGCTGCTCTAACTTCTCATTTCAGGTGATTTCAATTGCCACTTCGGTGTTTGCGACAACACTGCCAACGAAGGAGTTGCATGGGCGCCCTTTGACAACCCAAACTCTGCCTTTGAGTATGTTCACGTGAAAAGCGTGATGTCCGATTCCATGCCAAATGCGGACCGCGGGAAGCTATTCACAGGGAGAAACAAGTGGATGGCTTACAACGGAAAAATTGGTGGATACAGTAAGTGGGTTTGGCTTGCCCTTCGCACCATGGTGGGTAATCGTAACCTTCAAATGACGGATGCTGACCAAGTTTGCATTTGTTTGCAGTATGGAGTCATCAGATAAGGGTTTCGACGCAGGTGGAGCTCATGACTGGAGTGAGTGCGATATCTTTCCAGAAGAACCAGGGAAAGGTGACCTTGAGACTCGCTACTGGCCATTCTGATTTTTTTTCATCTGTCGCATGTCAAGCAAATCAGGTTCTAATAATGCCTCTTCTTGCACCTGCAGTTCACAGAAGAGCTAAAGGCGGCGTAAGCACAGGGGGCGTATATCATGAGGGTGCTTGCTCTCAAACAAGGCAGCTGGAAATACGGCTATACCGGCAGCTTGTGTCACGTGTGGGTCCTCCCTTAGCAACTCTTCCGGTCCAGCCCCTCGGAGCTTCACACCAGCCAGAAGGACCCTGAGGGTGCTTGCCAATACGGTTATAGCTCCTGTGGGAGCTTGAAACCAGCCAGGACCCTGAGTTAGCTAGGTACGGTAATAAATAATGTCCTTGCTTACTCCACCTATGATGTGTTGGTTTGGGTAATAAACCGCGTCCATGATTTCTCCAGCCACTTCCTTTACCATACTTCAATGGAGTGATCTGATGGTACCGTATGGATATTACCCAGGAAATAGCTCAACTTAATGGCCAGGCCATTACGCGTACACAACATTTCCACACATAGCACTGCAACTGCACCACAAATCCTGCTCACCCAAGGTATATGCTTTAGCACACCCAATATTTGACCTACTCTCCGCCTCGTGCCGTGAAACCAGCGGGCTGCCCGAGAGATATTTCAGGACAGCTGCCCGAAGAACCCCTGTCCCAAGCCCATGCACAATGAAGAGCACAGCACCAGTCGGGCTGGACTGCACTGCTAGGTCCACCGCTGCTAATGCATCCTCTGCACTCCGCCCCCTCACATCCACTGTGTTCCGTGCTGTCTGTACTGCTGCCTCTCTCACTGCTTGCAACGGCATGGAAGAGGCGGGGGACTGGGAGGGGAACTGACTGCCACGAGCCGTTTTGCCAATAAGAAGAGCGGATCGAGAATACTTTGGAGGTTTGAGGAGGAACTAGAGGGGTGCAAAGAAGAAAGAGCACGAAGAGGAAGAGCATAGACAGCGAGGTGATGGAACTGAGCGGGAGTTTCTTCACTGCATGCACCCTAGTAGCGATGATCAACCATTCAATACAAGAACGGTCTGTCGTAGCCACCTGTTGCCCTGCACCACATGCCCATGCGTGCATGCACACACGCACATGCATGCATGTTAATACTCGCACACATACATCCATGCACACATACATCCATGCACACATACATCCATGCACACAGACACGAATATGTGCAAGTGCTCATGTGCGCAAGCGCAAACACACAGAGAGCATGTAACATCGTACCCTCAATACCACCATTCCCTCAATACCACCATTCCCTCAGCAACACCATACCTACATCTCCTCTCCCTCATTTCTCCGTATCAACACCCCTATTGTCCGCATCCCACGATGCCCCCCCCCTTCTCCCCACCCAGCAGGAAGGAGCGGTGCAGAGGGTGGCAGCAGTGGGAGGAGGCGGCGTGGCATTGAGATAGAAGGAGGGTGGGAGCAGGCGCAGGGGTACATGGAGAGCATGGACAGTGGAGGAGGGGTGATAGGGACGGAGAAGATGAAGGCAGGGGAGGTGTGATGGGATTGAGTGAGAGCGATGCAAAAGGTTGTGCTGGTGTTGGTGCAGCGAGTGGCAATAAAGCGACGGGGAATATGTCAGACGGAGAAGGAGCGGGTGAGTAAGGAGCGAGGGAAGGGGGGAACACAGGGGAAGATCAAGCGAGGGAGGAAGCTGCACGGGTGATGGAGTCGTTTCTTCTGAGGCCAGTGCCTTACGAGGTGAGGACTCACCACACTCATGGCTGTGTTGTCTTCCATTACAGCCAGCATCTGCGACACAATGAGAACCACGTCAGCACCACCGTACCCTCTGCACTACCATACCACCAGCACCACCATACCATCAGCACCACCATATAACCCTCAGCACATCATGTCCGACCTGTCAACATGAACTCCCTCTCCCGCAAATCACTCTTTCTCAATCGCCCCATGCTGCCCTCTACCACCGGCCCGTGGTTATTCAGATCGCCATGGGATAACGTCCAGGCTCAGCTCACACTACGCACAAGGCGTCTCTGCTGCTCCCACTTTGTGCCAAGGGATAATTCTCTGCTGCTCTCTTTCTTGTCTCACTTCCTAACCAGTCCCATCCCAGTCTCTAGCCCACTCCAGTCCCATCAATCCACGCATTGCCCAACTGCTTCCTCCTCTTCCCAAACCCACCTTCCAGCAAGGAGCGGAATAGAGGGTTGCAGCAGTGGTGAAACCAGCGTGCCAGCTGTCACAAAGGGAGAGGGTCAGCTGCCGTGCTGACCCCTCACCTCTCCTCTCCCTCACTCCTCCTTATCAACACCCTTACTATCCGCATCCCACCACGCCCTCCCGCTTCTCCCCACCCAGCAGGAAGGAGCGGTAGCAGTAGCGGGAGGAGGCGGTGGGCCACTGAGATCGCAGGAGGGTGGGAGCAGGCGCAGGGGTATATGGAAAGAGCGGACGGTAGAGGAAGGGAGTTGAGAGCGAGGAACAGGGGGGTCAGAGGAGACGTGATGGGATTGCGTCAGAACAATGCAAGGTGGTACAGGGAGTGGCAATGAAGCAGAGGGGGAGACGTCAGAAGGAGAAGGAGCGGGTGAGCAAGGGGCGAGGGAAGGAGGGACGCAAGGGAAGAGCAGGCGAGGGAGGAAGCTGGTTTGACGGCAGCACTCAAGTCACACGTCCACTGGGACCCACCCCACCCCACTCCACTCTCCATGAGATGCACAAAGCGTCTCCCCGCGTCCCCTTCCACTGCCACCATTCTCCACATTCCCATTCCTTCCCATTGGCGCGTTATTGAACCCCATTCCTTCTCATCCGCCCCTCTGATCCTTCACCTTCAGTCTCCCCTTCATCACTCTCCCCTCATCCTCCGCTGCTGACCTGGGCAATGGGTGCAGACCAAACTCGCTCCTCTCCGAACGCTGCAAACACGCCTTCCAGTCGCAAAAATGCCATGTCAGCACTTGTCACGTCAGCGAGTGCCAGCTCAGCCTCAGCGGTGCGACTATCGAGAGGGGGGTGGGGCGGCGTTCCCACGTTGGGGGAGACATGTCTTGCTTGGCTCGGAGCTACCTTGTCTGGGCGGGAGCGGATGACGGCGAGTGGGAGAAAAGGGGTGGAGGGTTGGGGTTGCAGGAAGAGAGGTGGGATGAGAGATGGGAGAAGAGAGGCCATTTAGGCTCCTGGCTGGGGTGGGAGACATGGGGAGACATTTCTGGCTTGGGTGGGAAGTGGGCTGGCTGAAAGGGGAAACGAGGAAGGTGAAGAGGAGAGACGGAGGAGGAGGGAAGAGAGGAGATGAAATGGCAGCCATGGGGTGACAAAAGGAATGACAAATAAAGGAAAGCTGGAGGCAAGAGAAATATAAAACATACTCATCATGGCTGGAAAGTGGCCTGTCTTAGGGGAGAGGGGGAAAGGGGCGGGTTGGGGAGGGATGGGGAGGGTGGTGGGGAAAGAGAGGAGTGAAAGCAGCAGAACCGGGGATATGCGAAGAGGAAACGCCAGCATTGTGGCCAATGAGGAGGGGACACGTGTAGCCAGGCTAGGAGCGGAGCGCATGGAGGTAAGTGGCGGCTGGGGAGGAGTTGGAAAGGTGGGAGGAAAGATAGTGGATAGGAGAGCGGGCACAGCATGGCATGGTGTATGGGGAGGAAATGGAAAGGCATGGTGGATGGGGAACGGCATGGCATGGCAGCATTTGAGGTGAGAATGCAGCAGGGTGGTTGGGGCAGTGGTGTGGTGGCGTTGGTGATGCTGGCGATGATGCACATCGTGCACAGGCAGCTAGGGCGAATTGCGGCACACTGTGAGGAAGAAACCCTGCATGTGCGTGGGCTTGCACAGCAGCTGACTTGACTCACACCTGCCTTGCTGACGCATGGCTGCTGCAACCCTACCCTGAGAGCAAGCAGCCCTGCAGCGGCGGCCCCTTGAGCCTGGCTGCTGCAATCCACCTTGAGGGGAAGATTTCCTGCTGTGGCGCTACGTTGAGAAAGGAAGCAGCCGTGCGTGTGGGAGCACACTGTGGGCATCAAGGTCACGTGCCTTTGTGCGTGTGGCACACGGAGTGCTGCTCCCACTCATGCTGCTCCCGCTCGTGCTGCTCCCGCTCGTGCTGCTCCCGCTCGTGCTGCTCCCAATCGCGCCGCTCCCACTCGTGCTGATCCCGCTCGTGCTGCTCCCGCTCGTGCTGCTCCCGCTCGTGCTGCTACCACTCATGCTGCTCCCACTCTCGCTGCTCCTCCCACGTCGCCCGCCGCTGCTCCTCGCTCAACCCCGACCCACCCGCACGTGCACCTGGCACAGCTGATGGCGCGCGTGGGGATGGGTGGAGCGGGGAGCAGGGGTGAAAACAGGCGGAGAGGCACAGAGTGACGCAGCGAAGGGAGGTACAGCTGGCGCAGCCTATGGCGCTGGCAGCGGGGATGGGGGGAGGTACAGCTGGCGCAGCCTATGGCGCTGGCGCAGCCTGCCTGCTCGCGCCAACCCTCCACATTGCCTGTGCTGCCATGACTCCCGCTACCGCCACCGTTCGTAGTACCGCTGCTGGTTTTGCTGGTAGCGCTGGTAGGTATTTTGTTCCCCGCGCCGTGGCACTCCCCGCCTTGTCATGCGAATGCCATGGCGCGCCGGACAGCCCGCTCCGGAGTTGCGACTCCGCCTGCACGATCCGACCCTGCAGCCATCCCGCGAGCACGGCGCGCAACGAATCGGGGTTCGAGCCTACGCGTTACTGTCGGTCGAGGAGACAAAAAGATTGTTCCATAATCGTACCAGGAGGGTTACGATGGCGATAAGCAGCTGGTTGGGAGTTGACGAGTAAGTGGTTCATGTGAGGCACTCCTCGAACAGGATCATTAGCGCATGGGCCTGACATGGGGAAACATTGTACTTATATTAGATCAAAGAGCAGACACTAAGAGCACGAGTGGTGTTTTAGCGCATGCACCTCAACCGGGGTTTCTTAATGCTAAGTTGAATTTTAAAATAGATGCTCCTAGGTTACATTGTTTTGAGATTCACAGCGGACATGTTATGAGTTGTAATGGAGAGTGCGCAGATTAACGAATAACGAGAATGTGATTCAACAGACTGATCATACAATGAAGGCACACGCTAATGTAGTGGCTAGCCTAGCTAGGAGGGAACTTCGGGTGAGTGAGGTGGTTGGGTGCAGGTTTGGCGAAGGAAAACGCCGAAGGCGACGTGAGGAGGCTCGGCATCGTTGATGTCGGCCAAATGTGCAGAGTCCGAAAATCGGGGCTGTACGCGAAGCATCTTAAGATAGGCTAGGAGGCAAGTGTCGAGAGTAAATGTTTGAGTAAGGAGGGACAAGGAGATGCAAATGTCGACCTAAAGTGTTGTACCCTTTAGAGGGCAACTCACAGTAGCCTATCTAACAATATATAGAATATATAAACATTTGACACACCCCCATAGGCTAAGTGAGGGGCATCAAAACAACCAACGGAAACAAGGGGTCACAAGACCAGTCAAGAACAAGCATAAAAAAACAAAGCTCAGGGTGGCGCTCAGAGTCACCACACACTCCGAGCACAAGCAAGTGGCCACAAGGCCAGTTCAAGAGTTTACTAGTATATATAGAAGCACAACAAGTAGAGCAAACAGCAAGTCTACAGCAACCGAGGGCCTACCTCAACAAGCCCCAACTGCACACAGAACCTGTGGTGGTCACCAGGCGCCAAGGCCTTGGTGAAGACGTCGGCAGTGTTGGCCTGTGAGGCCACAAAGTCCAAACGTGCCTGACCGCGTCGCTGCAACTCTCGCAGGAGGAAGTACCTCACGTCAATATGCTTCACTCTGCTCTCCAGTCGAGGCTCTCGACACAGGAGGATCATGGCCTTGTTGTCAGCGTACAAGGTCGGTGCAGAGCGAGGCCGCTCACCAAGGTCGGCGAGCAAGAAGGTCAACCAGCGAAGCTCCTGTGCCGCCATGGCACCAGCGTAGATCTCTGCCTCTGCACTGGAAGTAGCCACAGACGACGACCGTGTAGACCTCCACGACACAGCACCAGCTCCCAGACTGAAGCAGTAACCCTGAGTCGAACGCTGAGTCTCCACGTCGTCAGCGTAGGAAGAGTCGCAGTGACCAGTCAACGCCACTGGCTGAGTCCCTCCAAGCACAAGCCCCATGCCTGATGTAGTCGCCAGGTACTTCGCCACCCTCACAGCAGCTGTCCAGTGGACAGGGCGGTGTCTCCCAGTCGCAACAAAGCGAGAAAGGATGCTGAGTGGAAAGGCGAGGTCCGGTCGAGTACAAGTCATCAGGTACATGAGGCAGCCCACCAGCTCTGCGTAGGGTCCACTGGACTCAAAGGGCTCGTCAGGAAAGGGGCCCGTGAGTCTGTGGTCAACAGCAAGAGGAGTGGGCTGTGTGGTGGAGAACTGGAAGTCGAACCGCCGAAGGATCTGCTGCACCATGTGTGACTGCGTCAGTGTGATGGTGCGAGCGGCTCTGTCCCGGGTGATCTGCAGGCCAAGGTAGCGCTGCAGCTCACCCAGGTCAGTGCACTTGTGTCTCTTCTGCAGTTCGGACTTCACCTGAGCCAGGGCTGCCCTGTCTGCTGTAGCAAACACCAAGTCGTCGACATAGACAAGGATAAAGAAAGGAGTAGAACCCGCTCGAACAAACAGCGACGGGTCGGCGGAGGACGGGCTGAACCCAAGGTCACGAAGCGTGGAGCGAAGAGTGTCGTGCCACTCACGGGGCGACTGGCGGAGACCGTAGACTGGTCGCCTCAGGCTCCACTGGGTCCCAGGTGGGAAGGTGTCAGTGAAGCCAGGAGGACGGCGCAGCCAGATCTCCTCGTGTAGTCGGCCCTGGAGGAACGCAGTGGAGAAGTCGAGGGAGTGCAGCTCGTAGTCTCGCTGCGCTGCTATGTGGAGTAACACCCGAAGAGTAGTCATCTTCGGGGTCGGGGCGAAGGTCTGGAAGAAGTCAACTCCCTCACGCTGACTGAAGCCCCTAGCCACGTAGCGCGCCTTGAACACCGGCGGTGCTCCAGGCGGCCGCTTCACCTTGAAGAGCCACATGCCATCGACTACGTTCGCCCTGGGAGGGGGAACTGCGTCGACGTAGGTGCCTGTGGATCTCCAAGACGCCAACTCTGAGTCCATAGCCGCTTTCCACTGAGAGGCCCACGCCTCTGACACTGCCTCGCGGTAAGTGCGAGGAGTCGGTATGTCAAGGGCGTCGGGGTCTCCCTCAGGGGAGAGCAGCATGGCACACACAGAGGGAGAAGCGGCTGCCCAGTACTCCAGCTCAGACTCTCTGTCCTCTAGGACGTCACAGCCAAGGGCAAACCCACCCCCGACGGACAGAGGACGGTAGGGAGGAGCTGGCACCACACGGGTGGCGTAGTCAAGGTGGCTGGCGGCAGCAAACTCAGCGACAGCGGCAGTAAGAGCCGAGGCAGACGACGGAGGGAAACGAGAGTCGGTGACAAGAGTGGCGAGGACACGTGCGGCAACAGGACGAACAACGCGGTAGTAGTCAGAGATAGGAGTGGGGAGGGCTGGTAGGGAGGACGGAGGAGGAGACGGGAGAACGGACACAGGAGAAGGAGAACGACGACGAGACGAACAAAGGAGGGCAGTGTGGAGGTCAGTAACAGGGGACGAGTGACGAGCACGCGGAGGACAACGAGTGATCAGGTCGCGACGGACAGAGGGAGGAGGAGAAGACCAGACCGCCGGACGGTCGTCAGGAGGAGGCAACGGAGGAACAAACACAGGAGGAGACTGGGAGCGGACAGGAGGAGAGGAGGAAAGGCCAAGGGCCCGCAGGCCACTCACAGGTGGGAACAACCGCCGCTCCAGAGGAAGCTGCGGTGGCGGTTGCAGCCGCTGCTGCTGCGGCTGCGGCTGCTGCTGCTGCTGCGGCTGCGGCGGCGGCTGCGGCTGCTGCTGCTGCTGCTGCTGCTGCTGCTGCTGCCGCTGCTGCTCCAGAAGGTCCAGCACCCGCAGCTCCTGCCGCTCCCTCTCCAACCGCTCCTGCTCCTCACGCTCACGCCGACGGGCAGCCTGGAGACGCGTGTCGTGGCGGTGGGGAGGCGGAGTGGACTCCGCAGAACCAGGGTCTCCAGCGTCAGTCCCCTCAGACTCAGCACCCCCAGAACCAGCACCGCCAGTGCCAGGACCTCCAACTCCAGCACCCCCAGAACTAGCACCGCCAGTGCCAGCACCCCCAACTCCAGCACCCCCAGAACCAGCACCTCCAGTGCCGGCACCTCCTGCTCCAGCACCCCCAGAGCTAGCGCCACCTGCGCCAGCACCTCCAGCTCCAGCACCCCCAGAGCTAGCGTCACGTGCGCCAGCACCTCCAGCTCCAGTACCCCGCGACCGAGCACCCCCAGACCGAGCACCGCCAGCGGCTGCACCTCCAGCGCCAGCACCAACCGAGTCCAAAGTAACCTGTCGCGGAAGTGCCGAAGGCTGCTGAGGGGACTGTGAGGAGGACTGCGGGGAGGGAGACGCTACCTGACGCGCGACCGAGGGTAGAGGGGTAGCGTGGGACACACCAGACGGGGCAGGACCTGGGGGGGGCGGGGGTACCGGAGGAGCGGGAGCAGGAGGAGGAGAGGGTGCGAGGAAGAGAGGGGGAGGGGGTACCGGGAGACCTCGACAGGGGTACCGGGTGTAGTAGGACACGGACTCGTCAAACCGGACGTCACGGGAGTCTAGGAACTGGTGGAGGGGAGGGTGGTAAAAGGACCAGTCAGCAGAGTCCACTGGGAAACCAAGGAAGACACATGGGACGGCGCGTGCCGAGAGCTTGTCCGCGAAGGTGTCGCGAACAAGTGCAAGGCAGCCCCAGACTCGAAAGGCCGACCCAACACCAGGGGATCCAGTCCAAAGACTGGTCGGTGAAGCCTCGGGCCGCGAGACACGCGGCTGGAGGTTCAGCTGGTGTGCGGCGTAGCGAACCGCGTGGGGCCACAGAAAATGGGGCGCACGGGCATGAATCATGGACGTGCGGGCGATGTCCATGACCAAGCCTATGCGGCGCTCAGCAACCCCATTCTGCTGTGGGGACTCTGGCAGCGTCCAGGACTGGGTGATGCCCTGTTCGCCGCAGAATCCGCCGAGAATGCCGGAGCGAAACTCGCCCCCACGGTCGGAGTGAAGACAACTGACTCGACGACCACGAGTGCCCTCAGTGGCTAGAAGCCACCTGATCAGCGTAGCAGTCACCTCGGACTTCTTCGCAAGAGGGAACACTGTGGTGTACCTGGAGAAGTCGTCGACGACCACCAGAAAGTAACGCTCCCTCCCAGACCCCTGCGTCGGGGCAGGGCCCCAGACGTCCAAGTGGAGAGTCTCGAAGGGAGCGGTGGCCGGACGAAGGGAGGAGGAGTGGGGAGTGGCGCGTAAGCGACCGGCGACGCACGGAGAGCAAGGAGGGGCAAGCGAGAGAGGGAGCGACGGGAAGGTGCGTGGGAGACCTGTGACTAGTCCCTGACTGAGCATGCCACGAAGGCGAGGGATCGACGGGTGGCCAAGACGGTGGTGCCACAGGACGGTGCGGTGGGCGAGAGAGCGACAGGAGCAAGACGCAGCGACTGGACTGGACACAGCGACCGGACTGGACACGACTACCTGGCTAGACACAGCAACTGGACTGGGGACCTGAGCCGGAGGGGACGCAACAACCTGAGGGGAGGACGCGACCGGGGAGCGCTCGGTGTGGAGAACGTAGAGACCGGAGCGGGGCTCCCTGGTGAACGTGGCCAGAACAGCACCTGTGGTAGCGTCAGTACAGACTGCAGTCCGCCCCCCCCCCACAAAGGTAACGGTGATCCCCCTGTCCTGGAGGTATCCAACACCCACCAAGTTCCGAGTGAACGAGGGGATGTGGAGGCCGCGCAAGACACCAGAGGGGACCACAGGGCACGGGAGGGTGGTGGAGCTGCGCGCAACGGCTGGTCCTGAAGAAGGATCAGCCAAAGCTACCGGAACCGGAGCAAGAAGTGGTGTGAGGGTCGTGTGGTCGCGGAAGAAACACTGCGACGCGCCAGAGTCCAGCGTGAACGACAGAGACGCCTCAGCCGGAGGCGTGTCAGGTCCGGAGGCTACACAAGCACCTAGAGCAGAAACACAAGCACCTAGACTAGAGAGGCACAGGTCTACACTAACAGGAGGCAAGCATCCTAGACTACGAACACGCGAGCACACAAATCCATCAGCACTATAGTCAACATCAGCATACAAAGCATACTGACGAGCATCGTCCATAGACAGTTCAAATACAGGAATCTTACGGGCTAGCAGGCGAGCCCAGCGCGGGGTGGTCGCCTCAGGACCCCAGCGTGCACGGTAGAGGTCGTCGAGGCGGCGGAAGCACCGCGCTGCAGAGTGGTCATCGCGGCCGCAGACACAGGGACTGCCAGGTCCGGTGACGCACCAGTGGTCGCAGGGGCCGGTGTCGCGCCGCGGGGGGCGAGGGGCCCAGCTGGTAGTGCTGCTGCTGCGGCCAGTGCTCCCGGGTCCTCCAGGTCCCCACTGTGGCGGAGGGCCCCAGTGCTGCTGCGGACCCCACTGCAGTGGGGGTCCCCACGTCTGAAACTGCTGTGGTGCCTGCCACTGCTGCTGTCCCTGGTGCAGCTGCTGTCTCTGCTGTGGCTGCTGCTGCTGGGGCCCCGCACCACCGCTGGTCGAACCTCCTCCAGCAGGTGGGTCAGCACCTCCTCCAGAGCTCCCTCCGCCTGGGGCAACACCGCCACCACTGCCGCCCCCAGGGCCGCCTCCACCACCGCCACCTCCTCCACCGCCGCCACCCCCCTTCCCCCCTTTCTTGCCCCCCTTGCCCCGTTTCTGCCTGTCAGCGGCAGAAACAGCTGCAGTGTCCTCAGAAACCGACACAGCAGCAGAGGCACGTGTAGCAGTGAAGGTAGGAAGCTGGGGGACAGCACACCCCTCAAACAAACGAGGGGCAACTGCGTCAGTGGCTGAGGCAACAGAGAGGAGGTTACTCTCGATCTTCCCGAGAGTGGTCTCGAGAAGATCAATCGTAAGCTCACTGGGGTGATGCTGGAGAAGTGCGTCACGGGCAGTGGAGAGGCGGTCAGGGAGACGAGTGACTACCCAGTGGACTGTGAGCCAAATAGGAGGAGGAGCAACAAGAAGCTGAGCCTCAGTGCAAGCTGCTCGGTAGCTAGCGACAAGGGAGCGCAAGTGTGTGGCTAGGTCAGAGACAGTCGCAAAAGAGCCGAGGTCGGGAAACACGAACGGCATGAGGATGCGGCTGAGGGAGGCAGAGGAAGGGGTGGAATAGCGTGCAGAAATAGCATCATACACCTCCTTCGCAGTCTCTACCAGGTCGAAGTGAGCGGCCTCAGTCGGTGGAAGGAGCTCGGTCAGCGCGAGTGCAGCCGCAGCATCACGGGAGTCCCAAACGTCCCGCGCCAAGACGAGACGAGCGTAGTCCGCCTGTGCCTCCGGAGTCGGGGGGGGCACGGCAGGGAGGGGCTCGGGACGCGGTGGTGCCTGGAGGGCGCCGGACGCGTGGGCGTACAGGGTGGCGCCGTCCTGGCGCTGACTGGTGAGATAGCGCTGAGTCTGGCGGAGCCAGGTGCCGAACTCTATCGGGCGCCCCTCTGCATCGAAACGAAGGCGGCGGGAGGAGTCCATATTGGACGCTAGGCTAGGAACAGCTGGAGCACGGAGCAAACGGAGCTAGGAGCGAGGAGCGCCAGGTGGGACTAGGCGAGGTACTGCTGGAGTACGGAGGAAAACTGAGCTAGGAACGCCAGTCTAGTAACGAACGGAGCTGGGAGTTAGCTGACCTAGGAGCACACGGCTGGAGGAGGCAGGGCTGACGAGCCGATCGAGGAGCCAGAGGGTCGTTCGAGGGGCTGGCGGAGCGAGGAGAGACCTAGCTAACAACGAACGTCAGGACTAGCCTAAACAGCTAAGCGGAGCGGCCTCCAGCCGCGACGGTGCGAAACACTGTGAGTATGAGTGACGCGAGTGTCGAACCAACGGAGGTCGGGTGGTCCTGGGTGGTGTGCGCGCGTGATAAGGGGATGTGAGCGTTTGGAAGGGGCTCTGAGCGGTTGGAAGGGGCTGTGAGCGGTTGGAAGGGGCTGTGAGCGGTTGGAACGGGCTGTGAGCGGTTGGAAGGGGCTGTGAGCGGTTGGAAGGGGCTGTGAGCGGTTGAAAGGGGCTGTGGGCGGGTGGGAGGGGCTAGCTGGCGCCAGCTGCTGGCGGCTAGGTTCCGGTGGCTAGCTGCTGCTGGCGGCTAGCTTCTGCCTAGCCGTGCTGCTGCTGCAGGAGCACGCGCTGCTGCCTAGCCGTGCTGCTGCTGCAATGGACACGTTGCTGCCTAGCCGTGCTGCTGCTGCAATGCACGCGCTGCTGCCTAGCCGTGCTGCTGCTGCAATGCACGCGCTGCTGCCTAGCCGTGCTGCTGCAGCAAAGCACGCGCTGCTGCTGCAATGCGCGTGCTGCAGTGGCGTGCGCGGCTGCCGCTGGCTAACGCGCGCGCTGCTGCGGGCTAAGAACGACTACGCGGGCCCGCGGGGGGGGGGGGGGGGGGAGAGTCCCTTCTGGAGCGCGACGAAACGAGGGGCCAGTGGGGCCCTGTAAACGCGACGAAAAACGAGGCCCGCGGGGGCCCTTAAACGCGACGAAAACGAGGCCCGCGGGGGCCCTTAAACGCGACGAAAACGAGGCCCGCGGGGGCCGTCCTACCCGCGACGAAACGGGGCCTAAGGGACGGGCGCCTCGGGACCGGCTAAGGGAGGGAGCGGAAGCGTGGGAGGGAGTAAAAAACCTACTCTAATACCATCTTAAGATAGGCTAGGAGGCAAGTGTCGAGAGTAAATGTTTGAGTAAGGAGGGACAAGGAGATGCAAATGTCGACCTAAAGTGTTGTACCCTTTAGAGGGCAACTCACAGTAGCCTATCTAACAATATATAGAATATATAAACATTTGACAAAGCAGTCAACCCGATAAGGAATTCGGGAAAATTCCTTACAGGACAGATGTTCAGTTTATCTCCAACATGAAGAACGTCAGTACCGTATTTGTCATAATCGTAGGCTAAAAGTGGTGTCGACTATCGAGGGGGTTGGTACAAAGAAAATGAACCTAAGGGGTTGTACCCCACAGTGTGTACCCCACTAAGCCTACCCAAGCTATAACATAGATAAACATATGTTTGACACACCCCCATAGGCAAAGTGGGGGAGAACAGAGGGTCACAAGACCAGTCAGGAAGTGCAAAGCAAGCTCAGGGTGGATCACAACGTCACCACGCAGTCTGAGCACAAGCAAGAAGGCCACAAGGCCAGTTCACATGCAGAGATATATATGTACCAACAACAGTACAGTGAAATCTACCTACAAGAACAAGCATGCAGGAATACATATAAATCATGGTACAAACAAAGCCTACAGCAAGTGAGGAAGCGTGGGCACAAGGCCTAACAAAGTGCAGAAACGCTGATGATCACCAGGCGGAAGTGCCTTGATGAATATATCAGCAGTGTTGGCCCGAGTGGCCACGTAGGTAAGACGAAGCTGGCCACGCTGCTGCAGCTCTCGAGCAAGAAAGTAACGGAGAGCGATGTGCTTCGTTCTGTGCTCCAGTCTGTGCTCCTGACACAAGGCAATGGCGGCCTTGTTGTCGACGTACAACACTGGAGGAGAACGAGGCCGCTCTCCCAAGTCAGTCAGCAGGTAGGTGAGCCAGCGAAGCTCCTGTGCAGCCATGGCTGTGGCGTAGATCTCAGCCTCACAACTGGAGCCGAGAACTGAAGACGAGCGTGTAGAACGCCAAGAAACTGAACCAGAGCCAAGGCTGAAGGTGTAACCCTGTGACGACCGCTGCGTAGCCTGGTCGTCAACCCAAGAGGCGTCCGAGTGACCAGTGAGGACAACGTCACCCCGTCCTCCAAGCACGAGCCCCATGCCCGATGTACTGCACAAGTAGCGTAGTACCCTCTTGGCAGCATCCATGTGCACCTTTCGGTGCCGACCAGGAGCCACGTAGCGAGCCAGAAGGCCAAGAGGGTACGCAACGTCAGGACGAGTGCAAGTCATCAGGTACATGAGGCAGCCTACTAACTCTGGGTAAGGACCACTCGGCTCTACGGACTCGTCCGAAGGTGGAGCTGAGAGCGAGTGACCTGTAGCCAGAGGAGTGGCCTGTGCTGAGGACCAGGTGAAACCGAAGCGCTGAAGGACCTGCTGCACCATGTGTGACTGAGTCAGTGTGATGGTGTGGCGTGCTCTGTCCTGGGTGATCTGCAAGCCAAGGTAGCTGCGCAGTTCACCCAGGTCTGTGCACGTGTGTCTCTTCTGCAGCTCCGACTTCACCAGGGCGAGAGCCTCAGTGTTAGCAGTGGCAAAGACCAAGTCGTCGACGTACACGAGAACGTAGAACGGCGGCAGCGAAGTGTCGGTGCGCAAAAACAGCGACGGGTCAGCAGTCGACGGAGCAAACCCAAGAGCCGCAAGTGTCGTCCTCAGTGTGTCGTGCCACTCACGTGGCGCCTGGCGGAGACCGTAGACCGGCCGCCGGAGGCTCCACTGGGTACCAGGAGGGAACGACCCAGTGAAGCCAGGAGGGCGGCGCAGCCAAATCTCCTCGTGCAGGCTGCCCTGTAAGAAGGCTGTGCTGAAGTCAAGAGAGTGAAGCTCGTAGTCACGCTGAGCGGCAACGTGCAGCAGCACCCGAAGAGTGGTCATCTTCGGGGTGGGGGAGAAGGTCTGGAAGAAGTCAATTCCCTCTCGCTGACTGAAGCCTCGAGCCACGTAACGAGCCTTGAAGACAGGCGGAGAACCTGGCGGCCGCTTCACCCTGAAAATCCACATGCCACTGACAATGTTCGCCCCAGGAGGGGGAACCTCGTCGACGTAGGTGCCAGTGGACTTCCAGGATGCCATCTCTGCGTCCATGGCTGTCTGCCACTGAGAGGAGTACTCACCCGCGATCGCCTCAGCGTAAGAGCGCGGGGTAGGGATGTCTGGTGCATCCGGGTCTCCCTCAGGGGCAAGCAGCATGGATACGAGATGAGGCGCAGCGGCTGCAAGACACTCAAGGTCCTCCTGCCTGTCCTCAAGGACGTCCGTGCCAAGAGCACACTCACCCCCGACGGACGGAGGACAGACAGACGCAGACTCAGCAACAAGACTGGCGGCGTAGTCTAGACGACCGTGAGCAGCAAAGGCAACAAGCTCAGTGACTAAGGCAGACGCAGCAGCAGACTCAAACGACGGGTCAGTGACAACAGTGGCAAGCAGACGCGTGACAGTAGAGTGCTCAGCACGAAACCGGTCAGACGCAGGGTCAGCAACAACAGGCAGAGAGGAGGCAGGGGGAGGCGGCAGAGGAACACGCGGTGAAGGAGAGGAAGGACGACGAACTACAAGGGGAGGGCCGGAGACAGCCGGCTGGCTCTGACGAGGAACACGACTACCGGAACTGATAGGGGAGACAGGACGCGACACAGGCTCACGACGCTCTGCAAGGCCACCAGGCTGCTCTGTGTATGGAGAAGGAGCAGGCAGCGGGGAGCCAGGCTATAACGGAAGACCAGTAGACGAGGGAAGACTGAGAACCTGGCGAAGTGCAGAGTCAGGTGGTGGCTGAGACGACGGAGACGGCGGAGCATAGAACAGGCGCGGCTGAGCAGTGCCACCAGCACGAGCAGCACCAGCCCCACCAGCAGCTCCAGCACCTCTAGCAGCTCCAGCACCCCCAGCAGCTCCAGCACCCCCAGCAGCTCCAGCACCTCCAGCAGCTCCAGCACCTCCAGCACCTCCAGCAGCTCCAGTACCCTCAGCAGCTCTAGCACCGCCAGTAGCTCCAGTACCTCCAGCAGCCCCACCACCAGCCCCAGCAGCTCCAGTACTCCCAGTACGAGCACCTCCGGGACCAGCGACACCAGCAGAAGAACCTCCAGCAGGAGAGCCCTGAGGTGCAGAAGTGGGACGCCGACGGCGACCGTACCAGACGTGCAGCTGCTGGGGGGTGAGGGGCACACGCGGACGAAGACGGCTACTCCAAGGAGACCGCATAACAGCAGTCTCAGAACCCTCAGGCAACTCACCCCCAGACTCAGCACCTCCAGACGCAGTACCCCGAGACGCAGCACCTCCAGGCTCCTCACGCGCAGGCTCAGCACCTCCAGGCTCCACACGCTCAGCGCCCCCAAGCTCCGCACCCCCAGGGACAGCACCACTCGCAGCAGGACCGGAGTCACCAGTGACCTCAACAGGCGCAGGCGCAGGGGGGTCGACCTGAGAGACACCTGAAGGTGCAGGACCTGGCGCGGGGAGGGGGTCTACCTGGGGAGGACTTGGGGCGAGAAAGAGCGGCGGGGGGGGGGGGGGGCAAGGAGCAGTGCGGTAGGGGAAGAGGCGGTAAAAGGGGACGGACTCGTCAAAGGTGACGTCCTGAGACGCAAAGACACGGCGCGAGGCGGGGTCGTAAAACTGCCAGCCAGGCGCGTCAGGGACAAAGCCAAGGAAGACGCAAGGAATGGCGCGAGGGGAGAGCTTGTCCGCGGTGGTATCGCGGACAAAGGCACGAGCACCCCAGACCCGGAAACGCGACGCGTCGCCAACCTTCCCGGTCCACAGCAGTGTGGGCGAGGTCTCCGGCAAGGAGACACGGGGCCA